TGCCTTTGAACCAAATGAACCTTGATTCCTGCACAAGGATGGTAGGCAATTCTGCATGCCAGCAAGACCAGGATGCGCACACGGCAGGAGACCTAATGGAAGCGCAATTCATGCATGTCTGGACAGGACGGGGCCTCCAACAGGTCCTTCTTTCAGTCTAAGCAAACATGGGATCCTGCTGCGAAAAGCGCTCTGAGTTTGCGAGAGCTGCCCTGACCCCTTTGGAGGCATGCACCAGTCACAGGACTTGGTTCAGCCCAGCTTGGCTTGGCCTGATATGGGAGGCGGCTTGCTCTGGAGCCGATCCAGCGCATTCACATCGTCCCCTTGGCTTTAACAGGAATTCAGCAAATGGCTTTAAAGTTTTATTCCCTGATTATCAGAAAAGGCGGCTATGTCTGCCAGAGAGTTGTAAGGACTTTTGTGCTGAATGTCTTTAATGGATGATTTTAATTAATAAATAAGAGAGAAGAGAGAAAAGAGAAAATAAAATAAAATGTGGGGTGAGGCAAACTTTTTAATTGCTTTACAGAATTAGATGAAATCTGCAGGGACTGTTTCCTCTTCTGGAAAGATTAAATCTACTAAGATTCAGATGACCGGCCCTCCCATTTTTAGTGCAACGGGATTATTTACAAATTGGGGTTTTCCCAAAAAGGATGTGTTTTCTGAGTTATTGTGATGAAAATGACATACAGGCATTTCAGAAGGTAAGTGCAATTTTTGTTTGTTTTGTCAAAATTTTCAGATTTGGAGGGGATTCACTTCCCTTTTGTCCCTACCTTCCCCAAATAGACACTTGGACAAAACGTGTGGAAACACCAAGTTTCATAGATGTCCCTGTAGGTGGGAAGCCTGATGAATGTCGGAGAGCTGATGGGACTGGGGAGTTATGATGACACAGAAAGGGTTTCTCCCTTATTTTCTGCTCAACTGGCCCTAAAGTGACAGAAATTCTATTTGGCAGGGGTGGGTGATGGATGTGCCCCCCACAGCAAGACCTGAATATCCCGTGTTTTCCAAGCAAGCACCCAGAGCTGCAGAATTCCCAGGACCCACAATCCCCCCCCCCCCCCCCCTCTCTTAATGGCCCTGTGCCTGGAGGAGAGAATGAGCAAAGAGCAGCCTTGTGATGTTCGATGGTCTATTCCAAAATTGCCCCCAGCACAGTAATGGGATCAGATAGCCTGCTGAACTATGCACTGAGATTAGAAAAAAGAGCTGCCGGTCCTGAAAAGCCAAGCTCCCCAGCCTCTCCTTCCCTTCCGCTGGTGTTCTTTCTGAATGGGGCAGCTCAGGGAGAAATGCGTCAGGTTGCACAAACGCGCTGTCCGGGTCTTCGAGCCCAACGTGCTCCTGACTGGGCAGGAGCGTTCCGTTTTGGTCTCGTCTGCTTTGGAGGGACCCCAAAGTTGTCTGAGCTTAGGGGGTTGGCTAGGGATTCCACTGGACCGAAGAATTCCTCCGCAGTTGATGCAGGCCAGCTGCCACCAGATGTTGTGGTCATTCGGGGCAGTCCTGTGGCCCTCCAACATCGTCTGAGGGGTCCTAGGATAGGGCAAAGGCTCTGCTGTGACCTCAGAAAAACACCCTGAGGTCAGGGTTGGAGTCTGACCTCAGAGACCCTCTGTCTATTCCGAGGCCAGCGTGGCTCGCTCCATGAGGGATGGGTCCTGGGGCAGAAGACTGTCCTTGGCTCTGGGGCAAGCAGCATCCTCCTAGCATAAGACCCTAGAGCAGTAGAGTTGGAAGGGGCCGGGAAGACCCTCAGGCCCAGCCCCTGCTGGGGCACCACACTAAATTGCTCCATCCCCCCGTGCAACTGTCCAGACGCTTTCTGAACACCTCCAGCAAGGGAGAGCCCACAGCTTCCCCAGGTAAGAGGCTCCATTGTTGTGCTGCTCTGACAGTGAGGAGTTTCTTCCTGGGGTCTAGTCTAAATCTGGTTTCTTTGAACTTATGTCCATTATTCTGTGTCCTGCATTCTGGGATGGCCAAGAAGGGAACTTGTCCTTCCTCTTTGTGACAGCCTTACGGTTCCTTGCGGAGGCTGCCTTATCCCCCCGCAGCTGTTCAAATGCCTTGGGGGCGAGAGCTGCCTGGACCCCAGGCCCTCCTTCGGGGGCCAACCCCTGTCCTGGATGGCATCTGGAATGTGGAATTCTGTGGAAGTCTAGACAGAAACGTGGCCTGCTGCCCTCAGCCCCAGCCAGCTCTGTGTGCATCTCCATGAGCCCCACCTTCCAGTCCAAGGCCCCTGTTGAGTGTGTGTAGCAGAAAGTTCCCCTGAGGACACAGCTGATGAATGAAAATAGTGCTTTTAATATCATTTACAGCAAACTTACAGTACAGTATTTCACATCATCACATATTTCTAAACTCATCTGGAAAAAATAAGCTTGCAAAAATACAGAATGCAGCACTCCAAATACCGTATGTTTCGCTCTAGAAGACGCACCTGACCATAAGACGCACCTAGTTTTTAGAGGAGGGATCCATGGAAAGCTTCCTGATCATCACAGGCACGTTCCCCATCACTTCCCCATGGGCTTCATTAAAAGACGGGTTGCCATTTGAAAACACACACCGACCTGTGATTAACAGCTCTCACCTGTGCCGGAGACTCCTCCTCCTCTGCAGCAGGTCTTCCCGGGCGGTGGGAGTGAGCAGTCCGTCTCTCCGTGCGGCCAGCGGGTTAAAGCCCGTGGCTCCTCTTCCTCCGCATGCCTCCCCCTGAGCGGCACAGCTCTCACCTGCGCCGGGGGGGGGGGGCACGGAGCAGGGCACGCCGAGCGCGTGCCGGCCAGGTGGTGCCACGTGGTGCAGGCGGCCGGCAGTTTCCCGGGCGTCGGGCACACACACATTCGCTCTATAAGACGCACAGACATTTCCCCTTACTTTTGAGGGGGGGAAAGTGCATCTTATAGAGCGAAAAATACGGTATACTGAGCGCAGCTTTTCTTTGTCTTTTCAATTTGCTTCTCCCTCAGTCAAATATACAGTGAGATTATTCTCATTTCTTAAATAAATCTCTCTACCCCCCCCCCCCAAATTAAATTAGGGAAATGTCTGCAGAACCCCCTCAAGTGATAAACTAGCCAAGGCAGGAATGCTTAAAAACACATCCTTCATATTCTTTGGAACAAACCCTCTGTTTGGTACCTGATAAATTCAAAGGAAATTCACTAGGAGGAACGGGGAATTCATGGGTGGGACAATTAAGCACCAAACAGAACGAGGTTTTGGCCCCTGGAAGCAAAGCAGGGAGAGGCTGTTGGATTGTGGGAGTGAAAAAATCAAGGAGAGGGACGGGGAAGCTTCTCCTGGATTTGGATGTGCTTAAATAGGTGGACTGTGGATAAGGAGGGACAAGGCCACCCCAAGGAAAAACCCTGCTGTCTTATGCACTGGGTTTATCAATTACCCCAGTCTTGCTGCCTTTTGGGGAGGTTAGAAGCTCTCCTGCTTTTTGCTACATCAATTTAGAATGGATTTATTACAAGGGCGTCAGATCTCAGTTCCAGACAAGCTCTTGGGAGCAACATTTTAGTGCTGAGTGAGAACAGATACAAAAGGGGTCAGGCTAAAAAAAAAAAAAGGCACCATCCTTTTGCTTAAAGCTCTTACTACCAGTAAGAGCCATTTCAGCCGTCTGGAACTGGGGGAAACTGTACCAGCTCGGAAATCTACAAATGGTCAGGAGAAAAGGGTAAGGGATGCCCCGTTTGGAGCCCTCCTGCAAAGCCATAGTTGGCCCATGCGCCTGAGGTGGGAACATCTCTGATGCTTGGTCCCACCAAGGATCCAAGCTGCACTTCTCAGTGATAGGCCTCAGTCCAAAGAAGGAAGAGCGGCAAAGGCCCAAACGTGAGCTGGCTGGTTTTCAGCCTGGTTCTGCCCAGAAGTGCCAGTTTCTTGCCCCAAGAACTCGAGGTGGTGTAAACAGCTCTGCTGGCTCCGTTTTGCTTTTTAATCAAATTCTGCACCAAGGTAATCCAAATCCAGCGCTAAGGATATCTCAGTTCTGCAATCAGTAAAAATTACACATATTGGCACAGAGTCTCTTATTTTGCATAATTTCTCCTGTCGCTCTGAACACTTTGCACAATTTATTCATGGCTTAGCCAGTAACAGGGAGAATGAAGGCCCTGAGAAATTTCACTTCCCAGAGATTTCTGGGGGCAATACTGACACATGAGCAAGCATATCTTAGCAACAAGAAGCTTAGATGCCTGCTCTTCTTCAAATGAAAGCCGAACATAGAAATTCCTGGTTTTCTGTGCTCCCATTGTGTTTCTGCTCACTCCACAGAAATATCCTGGAGCTCTCTTTGAGCAGAGGGGCTGAAGTGGGTCTCCTCTAAGTAGGAAGTGGCTCATGTGAAGATGCAGCCATACTGCAGAATTAAACCTTTCCCACCCACCCGCATCTTCCAGCATGGCTGTTGATACCAAGGGGGCAGGAGAACCACATTGAACAAAGTAGCAACCATCACAAGATTCTTCTGGGCACCCTCTGCTTCCATTGCAGCACACAATGTGTTTGCTCACACACGACCCCCTCATTCACAAGGGACGTGCCGGACGTCCATGGCTTACTTTACACTAATCAAATGCCCTTGTGTGGTACAGTTCAGCCTCACCTTTTCTTCCATCACAGAACTCAGGGAGTTCCTGGATTGTCCTCCATCCATGCCCTGATGAGACCCAAGCCCACTTAACTTCAGCAGATCTGAAGACCATGTCTGGGGATTTCTAGGACCATCTGCCACGGTTTCAGGCATGCTCTGCTTGCATTCGTGCAGACACTTTCACCCCTTTCTGGGATTATTCTAGCCAGATGCTTTGTCATCCAGCCCCGTCATTGAAGGATGGCCCCAATACGATCAGAAGCTTCTCCCAGCACCAGCCCGTGCTCAACACAGAGGCGCAGCATATTCCGCTCCCTTTCCCAGTCAGTCAGGACAAACAAAGAAGTCAGTCACATGAAACAGAGATCTGAGGAACCTCTTTGCAAATTATATTAATATTTCCAGAGGGGAAGGAAAGGTGAGGCCATGACCATCCTGGCCAGTCGTTTGCTCTAACTCGCAAGCTGTACCTGATACATTTCTTATTGCTTATGGCCATTTCAGAATGGCACTCGAGTCACTTAGACATTTCCTGCAGAAGACACAACAGAAACAAATCTGTGGATATAGGCTTTCACTCTTCCTGTGAAACGCGACACAACAACAGGAACAGGAACAGGAACAACAACGACAACAGATGCACGGCACAGCACGAGAGCAATCTCAGGCCCTAAGGCAGCCAGCCCTTCTCCCCAGCATCACATGGTGAAAGAAATTTAGGGTGGCTCAGCTGTAACGAAAGAGTGCTTAAGGGCCTTCTTCTGGCTTGGAGGCTCCGCCAACTTGCTATTTGTCCTGGGGAGGCAGGATGATTTGCCTTTTCGAGGGCCATGTTCTGATGGGGGGTGGGGGCAGGGCTGAGAACAAAAGCTTTGGGCTGAAAGCAAAAGGGTTTAGGAACACCATGCCTCAAACGCTGCCTTAAAGCTGGTCTGGCAGTAGCGAAGTCAGAAATGGCACTACAGTCGCTAAACCACTGGGCAAAAGCTGGACACCATCAAGTAATCTGTGTTGGGGGAAGGGGGCTCAGCCTGCTAGGACCCCCCAAGGGAGAGCTGTGGCCCCCAAGACTTAGATTCTGCACCCCAACCCTGCCTCTTTTCTCTGCAGCATCGAAGTTTAGGGGGAAAGGTCCTGGCTGTGGCTTTTTCTTATTACTCTTATTGGAATTCTGAATTCTAGCCAATGCAATTTGAACTTTGCTGGTAAAGGATATATTTTGAAATGGGCTCAAGCTTGCTTATGTGGGATGGCTTGCTCACACTGCTTGGTCAACTGCCTGTGTATATCACACCTAGTGCTTCCTACTATGATCTTTGTCTCTTCAAGCAACAAAACTGACCAGCTGCTCATAGCTAAAAAGAGAGCAGGCCCAAAATGTCCCCAGGAGTGGCAACAGCCCTGCGTTCCAAGCACTGCCTCAACCCTGAGGCATCGGTGGTTCCAATGCCGGATGTTTCTTCTTCAGGTTTCAGTCTAAATCTTAAAGGAACTACCCTTGATGCCAAACGTACTTTGGAAGAAGTTTCAGTACCATGGATAGCTCCTGCAGAATTCAGATCCAAGCCAGAGATGCCAAGTTGGACTACCAGGCCCTGGTGATTAGACTAGAACTGTGTGCAGGAACCACACGACTTTCTTCTGTACTTTGGAGTAAAAGCAAAGGGAGAAGGCAGAGTTGCTGGATAACAGATTTAAGCCATTTTGGTTTTCCAGGGCTCTAGATTATGCAGGGGATGACAAGAGCACAGCCAGTTTTCTGTCACAACACTTGGACAAGAAGGATGTTGGGGAGAGGCCAGAGATGATAGGCTTGGCCCAGCCCTCTCTTTCCTTCCATTCTAAATGCATGGGGAAGATGAACTTTGGAATAGGGCTAACACAGCCTTCCCTGTCCTGGTCCCCACTGGATGTGATGAAATGCAATTCTCATCATCATCATCATCATCATGCCATTTCTATGCCACCAGAGGCTGGCTGGCTGGCTTGCTTGCTGGCTGGCTGGCTGACTGGCTTGCTTGCTTGCTTTTAAAGAGGAGTGTTCAAAAACGAAATCCCCTTCGCACTATGTTCCCTCTACCACTTCACGACTCTACTGCGGTACTGTGGCATTATGTCCAAGCTGAAGAATATTAGTGGAAGCCAAAAGTCTTTTGCTGTGGCTTATGTCATGACTCAGGATTTCATGCAAAGTGAATTTCAAAGCAAATTCTGGGTGGAAAAAAATCAGAGGAATTTTGGCAAAAAGCAAAAGCATTTTGGGAAGATGGGCTGCATTTCTTAGAGGGAGGCTGGAAGGGCTCCTCTTTCCTTTCTTGCACTCAGCTGTTTGATTTTAAGAGATATGAATTCACCTCTTTTCCCACTAAGGACGTTGGAACCCTGGTGAATGAAGCCAGTCCGGTTATTAAGACTGGGCATTTCTAAAAAGTTGTGTAATAGTTGAACAAAAAATACATAATTGCAGTCAGGCAAGGCACTTTAGCAATGGTACAAAAAAGATGAAAAGCCAAGGCAAGCTGGTAAAGGAAAGAAAAATGCATAACGGTCGTGAACTTTTAAAAGCAGCAGTTCAGTCCTTAAAATTGGGTCCTTCCACCTGCCATCTCAATTCCGCCTGCCACAAAAGGATGTCTGCACATTCTTTGCTCACATACACCCTCCAGATGCAAAAAGAGCTTGGTTAAATTTGCTTGTGGACTGGATTGTTCTCAGGTCCCCTTTGCTCCTATCCAAGAGGCTGTGTGGAAGGAATCCAAATGACAAAATTGGATTTCAACAATCAGGAATTAAGCTCAAAGACAGATGCATTCTCCGCATGGAGAAGCATCTGTTTCAAATCACCCTGAAATAAAAAGCACCAGAGCTTCGGTCTGACCCTTCCCACATTTCTGCTGAGTGGCTCCACATTTCTACATGCACCCTCGCTTCCCACCTCATGATGGCCGGTTCTTTAAATGTATGGGCCATTCCCTTGCCAATCTCCCCCTTCCCAAATCAACTGCCCTCCCCCCTTATTTGTCAGGGAACAGAAATGGAAAATGAGAGTGCAGATTTGAGCTCACCCCCCGACTTCCAAAACCAGGGACCAGTTCTGCCAAATCCCTGTGTGGCAGCCAGGTGGCTGAGGACTTGCGGGGCTTTCCTCTCTCCACACACACAGGATCGAGTTTGTCGCAATTACAGGTTGGGGTCGTAGATCCCAGTTAAGTCATTTTGTATTTTTTTTTAGAAAACGCACTTATTTGATGAGAACTCTTATTAATTCGATGAGAGCACTATGAAACGTTATGGCTGTTTGAAATACGGGGCTGTTCTCTTGTTCCCACAGGGACAACGCTATGTACCAAAAAGTCCCAGGTACAGACACGAGGGACTGCAGACCTGCACAGGTTAACTCACGGCGTCAGTGTGCGTGTGCCAGCACCACGCTTTGCCCTTGCTGGGCGGCGCTTGCAGGAGAGGTCGCTGGTTGTTTAGGCCTTGGGCAGGCAGTGCTTCACTCCTGCATAGGTGCCGCTGTTAGGATTTGGCCCCCGTTTTGCTTTGCTTTAGCCAAACCCTCAAATTAAACACAACATCAGGGCTTAAGCCACAGAATAACTTGCCCCCTTCCTGTCAGAGCACATATAATGGGGGGGGGGTCACGTCCCTCTGGGAACTTCCATGGCAACAAGTAGATGGGCTAGTTAAGCAGAGGGCTTGAAGTGTCGCCTGGAGGTTGAGGGACCCAGGATTGGCCGGTGCTTTTCTGGTAACCGTAAAAATTCATGGCCAGGACAGGGCTGACTTCCAGGATGGTGTGAAATTATCCTTGAACTGTTGCTGTTATTGCGCCATCCCATCCAAGAGCCCAGGTGGCTCACCTGGCTCCATTTGAATCTCAGAACGACACCCCTGTGGGCAGGTTAGGCTGAGACTGAATGACCGGCCCAAAGGCACCAAGACAGTTCGGTGGCCAAGAGGGGGCGAGACCCGGGTCTCAGGCCCCCAGTCCGACATCATCCGCACACCAAGGGGGCTCTTACACCGCATGGAGGTGCTGGGCTTTGGGCCTGCTGCCCCCGTTCAGCAAGAGTGTTGAACCTCTTTCTACCTGAGGGCCCAATTCAATTTCAGAGAACCCTCTGGGACCTCATTCTGGGGTGGGCGGGGCCAGAGGCCAAAGGGGAGGGGCCAGCATGCAAACACCCCAGCATGTTTTTCGTTTACTGCTCTTCCTGCCAATAACTAGGCCTAAGGTGAAGCAGTTCTACCCTCTCGATGGAAAAGCAGACCATGGAAAACCTTGATAACCACCCACGTGTGATCAGAGGACAGGCTTTCTGGCCTCCAGAAGAATCTGGAGGGGATTGGGACCCTTGCAGGGCCAGACTTTAGCCATGGGTCCAAAGTTGCCAACTCCTGTGATCTGGTCACTTGGTTGACTCACACAAACACTTGCTTTCTCTCAACTATCAGCTATGGAGGAGTTTGAAATCAGCTCCCAGCAGAAGGTCCAGTTTTCATCTGCATTTGGAGACCACGAGTCAAGATGGAGGTCTCCAGCAGGAAACTGTGCAGGGAGAAAAGAGCCAACTCACTCAGCAGACCATGCTGTAGCTTGGATCAGGGCCTCACAGGCTGCTTTTTGAGGACTGAACACAGACATGCTTCTGGTCTATTTGGACCCACAGGAAAACAGGAGGGCTTCTCATGAGACCTCCCCAGGGAAAACTGAGGCAATCAAGCCAACCTCATGAGCTCTTCACCTTCTCCATTGTGCAGCTCTGTGCTGGCCCTAAAATGCTGCGTTGCGGGAAAATGGCCTGGCATGAAATGCACAGCATGCAGCAGAGGTAGAGCAGACAGACTTGAAATTCTTCACCTTATTTGTGGGCGGAGAAATAGCGGCAGGGGAGGGGGCCATTTCCTTGAATTGCTCCGGGTGGAGGGAAATCCTCCAACCGTTTTTCACACAAAATGTTCACAGCTGGCAATGCTTGGGGCAGAGCTTTGAATGTTTTGGAGTGTCCCGAATCACAGTAAGGTGGCCACAGGACATTTTTCCCTCCTGCCACACACCTGTCCGTTGCCCCATTTCCTAGGCTACTCGCGCCTCCTAATCTGGACTAAAGAAAGAAATGTGCTTATGGGAATGTGACGCTTCCCCCTGAGCATTAAGTGGCGTGTTGAAGCTGAGACCATCGCCTGTAGGAAAGGTGATCGCCATCAAAGGGTATCCTCAGGTCTCTCCTCATAAGTAAGGTAAGGCCCCCAACCCACGAGGAATTTTTCTCCCAAATGCCTTCTTTTGGATTTCTTTTCCAAATCATTTTCTCATCTAGCAAATGAAATGGGAATGGTGGAAAATGTGGAAAAGTTCAGCACAGAAAACTTTTCAAGTATTATTTTAAAAAACACACACATTATGGCGTCTCTATTGGTACATTTTAGAGGGTTGCATTTGCCATTTACACAGACATGGCATAAGACAGATGCAGACTGATGCCTTCAATTAATTAATTGGCTTCGGTAGACCATTACAGCGATTTTACCAGCTGCAGTGAAACTGTGTCCATGTTGCAACATAAAAAGCCAACCTGACCATCCAGCAGGCACCAAAATGGCACTGCATTTCCGTGTGATGTTTCTCACTTTCTGTTCCCCAGGTGCCTAGACTGAAAGCCTAGGCACCTGTGGCTCCAAGCCAAGGTCTGCAAATCAGAATTGATGAGCCAGGATCCAGAGATCCAACCAGCTAGTTCCACATACCTACAGGCGCTTTGGACTGGCTTTCCTTTAAAACAGAGGGGCGAAACTTGGGATATGGAAAAGAAGGAAGACTCTTGTTTTGCCTGGGACTGAACATACAATGTGCCCTTCATGGTCAGAACCCCTTTTTTAAGGGCTTCTCTTAAACTGTGGGGAGTCAGTTGGCTTTATCTTCTCATTATAAAATCCATAATGTATATATTATATATATTGCATTAGATATTTTTGTTGTTCACCATTTTGGCTAGTATATGTAGAAAGGCTGGATAGATGTTAAAATAAGGACTGCCCAGGCCTTCCTCTGGCACGGAAGTAAAAAAGGATGTACAAGACCAGTCCAGGTGGCCGGTGGACCCATCCTTGCACAAGCACCAGGACCTGGTCGCCCTCCTTGGCCAAGTCGAGAGAGTAGACCCTCGTGTCTCCGGGCCCCTCCTGCTCCAGGCCTTGCACGTGGCCCCAGAGAGGCCCAGTACTCCTGTGATCCCGAGAGCAACACTGAAGCAGCTCTCCGGACCTGCCAAAGCATGTGCTGAGCATTTGGCACAGTGACCGATGTTCCGAAGAACCTGGGAGCTGCCTTAGTGGCGGACAGAGCACTGGTCCATTCATGGCACCTTCAGGGATTGCAACAGGGTGTTCCCTGCCTCCCCATGGAGCGAACCCGCGCTCTTCCCTGCATGCCAAGGAGGTGTTCTACTCATGTGCAATAGCCTTTCTCAGAGGGAGTCCAAAGCTTGAGCACTTCCCCCGTTTGTGGAAGGTCTTCCATCGATACTTGATGTTGAAAAAGAGCTAAGAAGACATTCTCTGTTTGTTTTGTATACCAACATGAACAGACAGGGTTCTTCGGGTTTCTAGAACTGGGGTGCAGCAGTTTGGGGAACTGCTGCACCCCAAATATTTGCCCCCAAATATTTTATAGTCTCCATTGCCTGCAACAAGGAAACATGGGAACGGGTGGCAGCTTCTGCTGGGGTTGCATCCTGCCCTTTCTGACATCACAAGATGCCCAGTTGTCTAAGGTGATTCCGAAAGTGCTGCACCTGACACGAGGGCCCTTTCGGTCTCCTCCAACCTAGTGTCCTCCTGATGCATTGGGTGATGCTACCCATCATTCCCAGCCAACATGCTGGGAGAAGTAGTCCCACACATCTGGAAAGGCCTCGGGAGAATAGTCCCACCCATTCAGAAATTCCTCTCTAGGCATTTGTGAAGTTCCGCACACAAACAGGAAAGGATTGAATTTTGCAACAATATAATGTCATCTGAACTTGTATGTCCCGCTGGACATGTGGCTGATGCCACGTATTGGATAGGAAAAGGTATTCCTCACAGGGAAGCTGCTGAACTATCTTGGCTAAGACATCCAAAGAACTGGAGAGGAGACATTAAAAAATAATAAAACAGGAAGACAAAAGATCAGACCCCCATCATACCCACCTGCCCATTTCTTACCAGCTGGCAAGCTGCTTTCAAAAGGATGTGTCCTGATCTGGAGAAACCAATCCTAGCCAGGAGAAGTTCTGCTGGTTCCCTGTTTTCACTGAAATTGTAAATCCGAGGGCTGATTTCTGGAACCAGTGAGCAGAGGGGTCCACTGGTTTTTTAAAATATGCAATTGGCTTTTCTGAAGTGGCAGCCAGTGGGCAGGCCTGGCATTCCAGCAAAAGCCTTCTAGAAAGGGCTAAGCCACAGCCAGCGCCATGCTGCCTCCAGCCCCCGCTAGTCTCTGAGCTGAGCTTGATCAACTGCTCCCCTCTCCAAAGTCTGGCTTTTGGAGCCCCTCAATGCCTCCTGCAGAATGCCTGACAGCTCTGGACATGTGGAGCACACTCATTTTTGAACCCCACCGCCGACCCCAGCCCCACTCACCCATGGAAAACAAAATTCCTACTCCCAGGGAGCAGCAGCGCTCGGAGAGCAGAGTGCGGTGTGCTACAGACGGGCGTCCCTGCCAGTTCACAATACAGAGGGAAGTATTTTTGTTTTCCATTGTGTAATGCAGCCCCGCGCATATTCAGAGTGAAACGATGTGGCCTGGAGCCTTTGCAGTCTGTGCAGGTTTGCATTTACGCAGAATGCCACCCCGACAGGCCTGCTGCTCAGAGCATCCCATGCCGTCCAGAAAAATCAACTGGCTCTGGGCACCAAGTGTGGTTTGGGATGCGTGTTCCTCAGAGGATGGCTTTCCCCGACACACGTCCTCACTCCCTTGCCTGTAACATGCAGGCTGCTTTGGAAGGCACTGTACAATCCATGTGGCACACCGGCACTCCCAGGAGGGAGCCCTTCGTTTGAACCCGGAGCATCTGCTGCTCCTCCAGCCACAAAACAAACACCTGGAATCCCAGCTAACTACAGAAATTGCCCAGGAGATATTTGTCAGCCCTGACACTCCGTGCTTGCTGGGGAGGATGGGAGTTGGAGTTGGAGTTGGTGCTGGGCTGGGGAGGAAAGGCTTGATCAGCCCCCCACCCACTCTCCTCTGCACTGGGCACCTCTCTAGCACAACTCAAGTTGGCCAAGTGTCCAGATGGGAGCAAGCAGACCTAGCATTCGAGAGCCTCTGCAGGGAGGTGGGGGGAAAGCGAGGGGACCGGATGGGAGTGAGGCCTGTGGAGCCCAGCCGGCAATTTACGGCGCGACCCGTCCCTGAATGCGCACGAGCGCATTGCGATCCCAGCGAAAACACCAACGGAGGGCCTCTCGGTGGGAGTCACCGTTTCCTGACCTACAGTGCGGTTTTTATCTTTGCAAAATTTGTCCCAGGGGTGGCCCAGCCAAGGGGGTTCAGGCCAGCTTGCTGCCATTTTCCCACCCTGAACCGATGTTACAAGAGGCAGGGGGTAGGAAGCCCACCCCTCTCATTGCTTTGGAGGGAGAGAGCATTTGAGAGTGTCCCAGAGGGACAGCCGGTATAGTGACGGTAAAGACAATCACCCCCACAAATATTTTGATTTTACTGCCAACCCCCGGAAAATGGCCAGCGTGGCCTCTCCGTTTCCCTACCCATGCACAGGGCAGAAAATTGGGGGTGGGAGCACCCACAAAACAGATCGGCACCACCCTTCCTCTGGGAAGATGGCTGTGCCCACCCCCAGTGCTGTCCTGCATATAGAAAGCTTTAAAAAAAGAGGAAGAAATGATTGAAAGATTGCTCTGGGATCACTGCCCCGACACTCCCAGGTTGTGGTCAACTTTTCCCCGGTTCCAGCTCTCTCACACCAGAAATTTGCTCTTAGTGGGGCTCACACCTGGAGAGCAAAATGCGCATTGGCCACAGAAGCTCTGTTGCCCATTCGAGCTGCAACATCCGTTACCACCTTTAGACCAGCTTCATCCCTCCGTAATGTTAAATTCGTATGGAATGTTTGGCGAGGGTCGTCTGATGCTCCCACCCAGACTTTTCTGGCATGGTAACCCCCCCCCCATTCCCATCCCCCAAAGAACCAGACTCTGAAATATGTGAATGCAGTGATGCTGGTGTTTGAAGAGCAGTGAGATGACACAGGTGGGCTTGGGCCATTTCAGCCGCTGTCTGGAATTAGGGCTGGTGATATGAAGCTGAATCAGCACAGTGATTCCAAAACGGCTCCCTCTGAGACCTCGGGAGAGGAGAGGCTGCTGTCACCGAATAGCACCCAAGTGTACGTCCTTTGTAGCTCATATTGCAAAGGTTACCCCAGTGGTCCTTGAGTTTCAAATAGCACAGATTTGAGAAACAGTTCTGGCTCGTTCTTCTCTTGCTTTTGGGTTTGCTGTTGCTTGATGCTCAAGGACAGACATTTGCTCAGCCCTCAATGAAAAGGGGGGGGGGGTCCCAGAACATGAGCGGCTTTCCCCATCCTTTATGCCACCTGCCAATGTGTCTGGTACACGGAGGCACAGCTTTATGCCTCCCTGGCTCAGCCCAGACACTGAACATGATCCTGTTCTCCTGAATCCTGCCTGGGTCTGCGCTTGAGAAAAGGATGGAGGCCCACCGCTGTTCTTACCTATGCATGAGGGTATTCTGGAACATCATGGTATTTTTGAGATACAGTGCTGGCCGCCAATTTGCTTGTGTCTTCTAAAATGTCTTGTCTCTTATATTACACTTTTTCATCTCTCTGTTTTATTTTTTGACGTTAAAAAGGACTTTTGGGTTAGCAATCCACCCTTGCGGTCACTATAAAACAGACTCCATGTTCTCACACCACTCGTGATCTTCAAGGTTGTAGATAAATTTTGTCCTATGAGATGGGTTCTGGCCAGTGGGGTCCCGTCCCAGATTGTCCAGGGTCAGCGTGGAGGCAAAGAACTCGCTCGTGCTGAGTCCACCTTCATGGTTCTTGATATATTTCTTGTAGTTCTTTCTCAAGCATTGCCAGGTGGTGGTGTACAGGATGAACGCAAGTGATTTCAGAGTGATTGCGATGCTCACGTACAGGTACCTGTAAACCACGTTGTCGTACAGAGCACACGCTCCTTGTTCGCCACAAAACGTGCTCCAGAAGAGGCAGGTGGAATCAATTCCCGCTCCAAAGATGAGGGGAGGTGGGATAAAACCTGTGCAGGTAGGAAACAGATGTTTAATGCTGGCTGGAACATATTTAAAGGGGGCATCTTCTGAGTCCCCCCTTTCCACCAAATCTTCTAAAATCTATTTGCACAAGATACATAGAAACAGAGCGAGTCAGAAGGGGTCTCCCGGGCCATCTAGTCTGACCCCCAGCACCAGCCAGCTCCGCTCATGACATGCCCACCATGTGCATGTCCAGCCTCTCCTTGAACACTGCCCCCAGTGGGGCCTCAGCCACCTCTCGGGGAAGCCCATTCCATGCCCTCGGGGTCCTAGAGGAGAAGGGGGAGGCACGATCAAGATACTATAAGAAAGGGAAGAGGATATGGGGGAAAAGGTGCGAAAGTCCACAAATGTATCCAGAAAGACAGCAGGTGACATCAGCACTTAAACACATTCATTAAAAGCAACAATCTCTTCAGCAGTAATCCCATCAAAAGAATTCAATTTGTCAGACAAAATTTGTCCAGTCTATTGCTTTAACCTTAAAGTAGTAATTACTGACATTTATAAAAACTGTGTTTTCTTTAGCAATTAATTAAATTGCTTATAGTAAACTTCCCATCTTTGACTGGCCTTCTGTTAATGTTGTTAGTGAATTTTGCCATTATTGCATAGTCAGCTAACTGTCTTCTGAGCCCTTTACAAACTTATCATAGCATCCTAGAACAGTAGAGCTGGGAGGGACCCTGAAGGCCATCAAGTCCAGCCCCCTGCTGCTGCAGGACACCAGTTTACGCCATCCCACTCAGATGGCTGGTCAGTTTCTTCTTGAATGTCTCCAGGGTGGGAGAGCCTCCCACCTCTCCAGGCAGCGGGTTCCACTGTCGTATTGCTCTGACAGCAAGGAAACCTTTCCTGATGTCCAGCCTGAACCTGGATTGTCGCAACTTGAGCTGCTTATTCCATGTCCTACACTCTGTTATCAACGAGAAGAGAGCGGTCTTAGCAGCAGACCAAAAACTGTTCCCGCCATGCCCAGCCAGGCATCCCCCTCATGCTCCTAAGACTGACATTTAGAACCAGGGTGGGGATGGATATGGACATTCACAGACGGATGTTCGGCCTGCGGAGAGTCCCCACCTGTCCCCTGTCCTGATCTCCCTGCACTCCTCTCTCACGCTACAAAAAAGGCCCCTTTTCAAAAGGCCTGATTGCAGCACAGAGGCCTTTTGTGGGTGTGGGGCCACCAATGGAGGCTTTCAGAAAGAGGGTTCACTGTTGTGGAGAGGTGGGGTGTCAGCTGGCAAACGACGGCTGAGCGATCAAGACGGGGCCTCGTCACGGCATCTTCCCATGTAGCCTGGCCATCGCTGCTGATGCCGCAGCTGACCCGGCCTCCCGGCTTGACACAGTGCCCTCGAAACCATTTTGGCAGGTGCCAGTGTATCATTCCACCAGGGTTGTGCTCACCTAACAACCGGAGGAGAAGGAAGAGAACGCCCAAGGCGTAGGATTTCAGCTCTGGGCTCACTGTTCTGTAGAAGAGAGACATCCAGGCAGAAATGAATACATACATGCAGACACTTCAGGACAGTGGTGTTTGTCTCCACAAAAAAGCTTTAATTAACAGACCCACCTGCCCCCCAACCCTGACAGCTGAGTCTTGCTGCCAGCCAAGATGACACGGCTCATCTTCAGAAAATCAGATAATTGTACGACTTTTTTTTCGCTCCCACTCTGCTTCCCCCCAGGACTGAAAACAATCACAGTTGCAGCTGTCTGTTAAGAAATAAATCATCTGTGATGAATATACCAATCATTTCTCAATATACTAAAGAATCAACAGTGAATCCTACAGAATTGCAATGGGCACCTCCTTTCCGCCAACAACCTAGTGTTTGGGGTTTTGTGAGAGTTTTTCCCTGTCCAAAAGGCCGGAATACTTCTCCCTAGACCTGGCTACTGATCCAGTAAGAGCTTTAAGCTACCACAGGCTTGTACTGATCAGAATTTGTGGCCCAGCCTGCCTTCCCTCCAGCCTTGCTTTCCACTGGTTTAGGGCCTTCAAGCGCTTTCTTGGAAACTTGGCCCTCAAGTTTAAAGGACTTTTACCTGAATGCACATGGTTCTGTGTCAGACATGAAAACAGTCCTGCTAAATTGGAGGCCAGGTCCGACTGGTGGTCCAGCCAGCTGCTTCCGGTCATGCTCAGCCAGATACGCAGGAAGGCTGTAAAATCAACTCTTCCTGTCTTCTACTACAGCAAGTCCCTTCTACAGGCTGGGTGCGGAATGGGCTGGTGAGGCCATGGCAGTCTGCCCTTTCCATGGAGCGGGGGCTGGCACCCCCACCCCGGTCCGCTTAGCTCTGGGTCCAAATGCATTTGCTCGGCGCAGCGGGGCTTGCTGCCTAGCTGAGTACAGGGTCTTTTTGGTGGGGTTTCCTGAGGATTTTTCAAGAATGCATTACTTTCTGCAAAGTGCCTGGCACCATGAGATGAAGGGCAGTGCATTTAAATAAATTGTGGGTGGCTCTCTTGTTATATAGAAGCGTCTGATTTCAAAAGGTTTCAATTTTTGTCACTTCACCCTCCTTTTATCCTCTCTTCTTTTCCTTTTTGCTTGACAGGCCTCTGAGATCATCAAGCATCTAAATCCAGTGTCCCACTTCCATGGTCACAGACACTAGCGCCTAGTGGCTAGAGTGCAGGACAAGGACACAGAAGATGCCGGTCCGAGTCCCCACTCAGCCATGACTCTCCCTGTGGGACTTTGGAGCTGCCTCAGACGCTCAGCCCACCCTACCCCACTGCTCTGAGCATGAATCCCTGGAGAACGTCGTAAACCCCTTTGATTCCCTTGCAAGTGATCGAAAAGCAGAGAATAAACGTAAAATAGCAGTCGCAATAACAACAGCAGCGGTGCCTGTGGACTTGGAGGGGGACACACTGAGGAACGCTCAGGACCATCAGGATTGCTCAGCAGGCATTGCTTGTTCATGCTTCATTACCTCTGCATGGCCCACTGCAGTTGGAACAACTGAGAAGAAACCTCCCAGGACTGGCACCCAAGAACCCCGTCCTGTGCCATCGGATGCCCAAAGGAAAGCCTTAACCGGGGGGACTGGGGGACTGGGTTGGTTTCAAAGGAAAAAGGAACCCTTTCAGATATTAGCACCCTGCGAGGAAGGCAGTGGGGAGGGGATCCACACGCAGAGCGTCCGCAGGGGGCGGCTACAATCGCTTATCGAGGCAACACTAGCCAGAGTGCAACGGTGAGCTGAAGACAAACTTGTTTATTCTGGCACAGACTTTCCCGAAGTGCCACCCATCTGCAGCCGATCTCCTAGCCTGAGGCCAGACGCGGTCGATGCAGGACCGGGCAGCCGAGGGTCGGGATAAAGAGCTCCCCACACTCCGTGCGCTGCTCCTGCTCCGAAAGGGAAGCCAGCTTTCGAACTGGCTTCAAGGGGAGGCAGATGGAAGCCAGCCGCGAACACAGCGCTGACTCGGCTCTGAAGCCGAGCTGGGAACGCCTCTGGAGCACGTGCCAGTGAGTGTCTTGTGGGCCTCCTTCATCCTCCAGGCACGGCTGAGGTAGAAGGAGGGTGCGGATCGGATCGGCTCGCGCCCTGTGCTTGTACTTAAACTGAATGAGGCACCAGAAACTGGCCGGGTGGGCGGGGAAACCTGAATTTGGCAGCCTGCGTTGAAAACAGCCGCCAGAACAATTAAGGGCCTGCAGCACTTTTCATACGAGCAGCAAATGAAGGGGGGGCTTTAACATGGGAAAACAACCATTAAGGACCTGACTGCCATGTCATGTGAGATTCGCAGCTTGCAACCTGTCAGTAAACCTGAAGCATTTAACCCTGAGTGGGTCTGTCTGATTTCTCCTGCTTACACCCTTCCCTTCCTCGTTCCTGCTCTCCGTATGCTGTGCAGCGCAGTGGGACCTTTCCCTGTTAATCGCGGTATATGAGAAGCAGGGGAAGAGTGGATTTTGCCAGGACTGCAGCTGGTCACAGAAGGGCAGTGTCCTCCATCTCAGCGTTCCCCACCCCCTCCCAAAAAAAGTCCTGCTGCACAAGGCGATCCCAAGCAATTCAGCCCTAATACAATGTCCCCCAGAACCACTGCAAGTGGCCACGATCCGTATCTGGCGCCGGCTGCAGGGCAGGCGGCGAGATGCTCTCCATGCCCTGCTCCATCCATCCAGGCATCTGTCTCCCCACTGCCTGCTCCCCATTGTGGTTTCCAGTTCCCAGGCCTGAGAGAAGGGCAGGTGAACAAGCAAGGTGCACAGGTGAGGACACGGAGCGCCGCCTTGCACGAACGCCCAACGGTGCCAACTTGCGATCTCGGCTATGGAAGCACGGGGAGCCCATGAGCCAGGGCATGGGTGCGGAGGGACACTGCGCCAGCAGCCAGACACACCGAGGGAAGGTATCGCAAGAGTGCAAGGGCAGAGAGAGTTCCTGGGCTCTCAGAATACAGAGCCGGAGTAGGAAACCCTTTTATGTGACAGATGCAGTGACGGGCATGGCCAAAGCAACACCTCCGGGGGCCAAACGCACAGCTTCTCACGGAGCTACCACACTTCGTCACTCACAAGAATGGCTGGTGTTGCTGCACCCACAAACAGCCCCATGGAGAGAAGGGGGGAGAAGTCCGTCACAGGGAAGGAAACTGAAATGCACCTCCAATCAAAATAAACCACCACCAGTACAATAATAGAAATAATAACACACATGATGTAGAAGCTCATATCCGCACCTGCTTGTCCCCCTGCACCAAAAGCGCCTGAGCGCCAGGTGAGCCTCACCTGATGAGAATGATGACGGACGGCGTCTGAGCCATGGACCCGATCATGCTGCAAACACACATCACGCAGAGGAATGTCAGGAAGGCCTGCTGGCACCCGGGGCTGGGGCACTTCCCGGGAATGACCGTGGCGTTCTCGGCTGCGACCGACGTGAGGCATGCGCATCCAGTGAGGTTCTGGAAGAGAAGTGCCGGGAGGTTGCTGCGGATGCTGGTGCTGCAAAACCGGGGGCACTGTGCGTGCAGCACCCCTGCCAAAAGCAGATTCCGGCCGGTGCATCACTTACCTTTGCAAACCTTCATGTGCACATTTAGCAGCAATGACTCTCATTTAAAAGAAATGCAAAATGTCTCACCACAGTCCAGGCCTGTCCGATCTACTGTCGGGGTGCTAAGTGTGGAGGGGCAACTCTGGGGGCCTTGAAGGCTCTCCCTCTTCAGCTTTGAATTTGGTCTGCATATCCATCAAACACGGGAGCACCACCTTATGCTGGCTTTCTAGCCAGGGAGTGGGGACAAGGCACTGCCTAACTGCATTCAGCACTATCATTCCGGCATGTGACATTTCTGCAAGCGCACCACCAGGCATGTCTTCATGAACCACGAGGGCTAAAAACGTTGTTTTTTGTTAAAAGGATGACAGCCTCCACCCTGGAACATAAGCTGCTTTCTAGCAGAACCATGGCGTACAGCTGGGTTCTTCTCCCCTTTCCTGATGTCTGTGCCTCAATTCCCCCACAGTACTATTGGAGGGCTGCCCTGGAAGCAAAGAAGCCACGCCATCTGCCCTTCCGCCACGTGGAGGGTGTAGCGTGGCCCAGTTACAGTCCGCCTGCCTCAGTGGCCTCCCTTGCCCTTCCCTTTCATCTCCGCTTGGCTACTCCAAGCCTTTGAAAGAAGCGCAGCTGCAGGAAAAGAGCCACTGGCTCAGACCTCTTGTGAATACAAGGATCAAAGGAAGACTCTCTGTCCCTGCATTAGGCTAAAACGTTTCCAAATTAAAGCTTCTAATTACTTTTGGATTCTCCCCCGCTTCCACCCACGTCTCCTAATTATGCTGGAGTGTATTAAAAAGAACGCATGCAAGGCCTTTCCCAGCCTCCTTTCAATGCCCCCAAACAATGAAGAGAGAAGGAACCCCCTGCCCCGCTGTCCTTGCAGAAAGTCCCAACCCTTTGTGGAGAGCAAGCTCTCTACCCCAGCGGAGCATTGGAAAGCACCGGCCTGGAAGGGCCTGGGTGCTGGAAGCGGGCAAGATAAGCTGCAGTCAACAGGGAATCTGAAAGGAAAGAAAGGGCCACATTCCCCTTTCATCCAGCAACTGAGCAGGGACTACATGTGCCGTTCAGGTTCTGCCCTCCTTTGGGTTTGCCCTCCTGGTCCGTGGGGCAGGGACAGGACCTCAGCAGGGTGAAGAGCTCAGTGATGCACCAGTAAAACCACCCATGACCCACTGGGCTGCGGGCTTTGCAGCAGCCTTCCTTGGGAGGCACAGTTCTCAAGGGGCTCCCTGCCCAGGGAATCCTTTGCACCGTGGATTTCGAAACACGGGATTTTGGCAGCAAGTGGGGGCTGGGGGAACTTTCCTGCAACCGGAAAGCTTTGCATACATATAAAGACTTCCGTACTGTACAGAACCCTTGGGAAAGAGCTGGACCTTGGAGGCCCACACCTGTTTGCGTGAGGAAGTTACTTTTTTAATATCCCATCTTTCTGCCAAAGGACATCATGTAATATGACCAACAATAACAACCTAAGTATAATGAAATGAAATCTTAATTAAAGCTGCATAAAGGCAAATGGAAATGAAATTAAAACTAGCCCAACCACAAAGAAATAAGTAGCAGCAGGTAATTGGGTAAAAAAGAAAGAAACCAAACCCTTTCCACAGATGCTGAAGGCTGGCTTGAATAAAAATGTACTTGCCTGCCAGAGGAAAGACAATGGAGTGGGAGCCAACCAGGTGCCCCTTAGTGGGCGTTCCAATGCCTGAGGGCAGCCACCAAGAAGGCCCTGCTGCACATGAAAAAGATCTCCTGCAAGGATCTTAAATCCCCAGCAGGCTGGTATGGGAGACAGCACCCTATTCCCAAGCCTTCACAGGGCTCTGGAATTGTGTCCAGAAGTCACATTCAGTGAAGCTGTTGTAACAAAGAAGCTGAAGTTTCCAGCTGACATTTCCGAGCAGTTGTCAAAGGCAGCTGCACATACAGCTCATTAAAGCGGTCTGAAAATGATGTAACTAGTGCACCAATGAGCCAGCAAGTTCCCAGCTTCTGCCCTCAGCATCTTCAGGTCGCACTGGGAAAGACCTGTTCCTGAAATCCAGGAGACCTGCTGCTGCTGGTCAGTACCGGCAATACTGGGATGGAAGGCAGCCTGCTGCTACTGAGCTTCTCTATGGAGAAGTCCGAACAGACTTCCCAGGGATGCCCAGGTTACTCCTAGCACTGTCTGAAAACCACCGTTACAGAGGAAAATAAAAGGAATCCACTGAACTAGAATAGATTCCCACCAGGAAGAGAGTTTGCATGCCATGCTTTGAAGATCCGTAATGGCTGAATTTACGGTTTGGGCAACATGACGGTGGAACCCAGGATCTTGGTGGGTTCTCCCACACTGAAGACCTTCAAGATGCAATCTGAGCGCCAGCTGAGCGCAAGCTTGAACCTGGACAGGGCTTGCCCCCCCCCCCCCCAACTCCACGCTTCTTGGATTCCGTGATCGCATGAACTCCATGTTCGTGTTTTTCCTTTGTTGCGAGATGCTTCTGGAGGCAAAGTGGCAGGATGGGTGGAGTCTTGGCAGAACCCAGTTGCTTCTGGAAGAACATGGAGCTGACCAAAGCACTTTTTAATCTTTCTGGGTAAGTGACTGGTCACAAGACGTTTCTTCTGCTTGCCCCTTGAAGACTACATTTTGCTCTTCCGGAAGGTTTCCACGTGCCCTCCTCCCCCACATCCCAGCATGTCCTTTTCTGGGCCAGAAGGCAGCAATATTGCCACAAGCAAGCCTGCCCTGCTGGATTTTCAGGCCACAGCAGCAACAAAAAAGACCTTCTGTTCAAGAGTTTCAGAGAGCGGCACTTCTGCATGTCTCCCCAGGGGGTCTTAAAAGGAGCCTCGGTCTTCCGCCGATGCCCTGACATGCGTGACTGAGGAGAAGGCAAGCGAAGGCGCTCCAAGATGCCGCTGGAGTGGGCGACAGCAAAGGACTACGTCTGGTGAGAAAAGGAGGACCAGAGCACTTGGGGATAATTCCACCTGGTGATCTTTGCGGTTTGAGGAATACAAAACACCCTGTGGAGCTCCTTTCGCATTCAGCAGGATCACCTCATCCCTGTTTTCGGAAAGTGTGGCCATCCAGGTGATCGCTGCCGCGAGGAGAGCATCTTGGTTCAGCAGACTTGCCCTCCATCTTCAGCAATCGAAAATGTACACAGGCAAACACAGGCTGTGGCACTTAATGACCTGACTGCACAACACTGGAATCAAATAGTTCTTCTACTGCATTTCTCCCATTGGTTCTTCCATCCCTTCTGGGAATGCAGAAAATCCGACTTATTTTTGGCAAGGGATGGAGTATCAGTGAGATTTTCACGGAGGTGGACAAGAGAAACGTAAGCAAGGCAACTGGGAGGTGGAGCAGTCCTCTGCAGCTAATGGCTCCCCAACTCTCTTCCCCACTCGATCTCCCTGGACAAATCTGAAGGTGGTCACCTCAGGAGCCAGTACTCCCGCTATTGGTGCTGGTGGTCGCCGCCATTTCCCGATGTTCAGGAGGCCTCCAAAGCTCTGTGAGGAGAGCTTGAAAGAGCGGTGTGTGCTTAGCCTCCAGGGGAGTCTGGACGGCACTTTTAAAGTCCTTGAAAGGTTGTCACACAGAGGAAGGCCAGGATCTCTTCTCAATCATCCCAAAGAATAATGGGCTCAAGTTACAGGAAGCCAGGTTCCGGCTGGATGTTGGGAAGATCTTCCTGGCTGCTGGAGCAGGAGAGAAATGGAACCCCTGACCTGGAAGAGTTGTGAGCGCTCTCACTCCTCTTTGTGATACCCATTCAAGTACTTGTAGATTGCTATCCTCTCTCCCCTCACTCTTCTCTTCTGCAGGCCAGACACACCCAGTTCTTTCCATCTCTTCTCACAGAGCTTCGTTTCCAGTCCGGGAATAATCCTTGTTGCCCTCCTTGGATCCTTCCCAGTGTGTCTGCATCTTTCTTCAGCTGTGGTGCCCAGAACGGGAACTCGTACTTCACATGACTGCAAATTGATACTATGATTAAACACAGCCCTAGGACCATGAAGAAACATGGCTGGCCAGTGGTGACTAAAGGGTTAGATCATGGACTTCGGGGATGTGGGTTGGAATCTCCACTCAGCCAGGAAGCTCCCGGGGTGATTTTGGGCCAGGCACTCACTCTTGGCCTGACCGGTCTTGCAAAGAGAGTGGAGAAGCACTAAGCAAGCTGCTCCGGCTTCCTCGCAGAAGGCAAAACAGCAGCAAATCAACGCACTAACAACAATAGGGAGAACGCGATAATTACCGTGCTATTGCATCCAGCAAAGCATGACGACAGGTACGTGACTCCATCTGCCCCACAGACGGGAGTGAAGGAATCCGTTTGGCATTTGCAGTGGTTATTGCAGGCAGAATATGGGGCCAAGCTGGAGGACAGCCCTGACCTGGAAGAGAGGAAACGGGGTTGGGGCTCAGTGGGATGAGGAACCTGCAGTTGGCAAGGGAGAAAGAAGGACCCGGCACACTCTCTTGCCCCAAAACCATGGCTTCCAAGAAGGCCCCAAGTCCCTGTGGCTGTTGCTTGCAGGGCAGATGGAGAGGAATGCAAGGACCGCCAGAGCCTGAAGGCAGCTCCTACTGAGTAGCCGCCTTCCTTGCAACTGGCACAGATGGATGTTGGGATAACGGAGCGATGCTCGGCGGAGACTGCCCCGGCACTGAGAAGCCAGAGACGCGCGGAGCCCTGCAGGGGCCAGCTCTGGGGGTGCCAAACCGGGGTCCCTGGGGCACAAAAGCCTGGCTGGATCAGACCAAAGGCCTCCCTCATCCCACTGGCTATTTCGCTTGGAGCCAGAGAGAGGCTGAACTGCTGCAGCTTCGTTACTGATGGCCTGAGCCTTCAGCTGCAACATGCTGGCGTCTCTGGTAGCCCTGGCCCAGTCCCCTTTGGCCCTGCCCCGTTTGCCGGCCTCCAGGCAGCTTCTCTGAAACCTAATCTATCCCTCAGGTTCGACGCCGCTGCACGCAAGATTCGCAGGCAAACCCTGGTCCGGGGAAGCCCATCTAAGCAGACCGAACTTTTTCCCCTAATCAGGTCTTGCAATTCGGATTCTTCCGGAGTGCACTGTTGTTGCTGCGCAAGTGCTTCTTGGAATCCGTGCTTGCAAAGTGGGGTCCCAATTTGCGCATTTTTGAGGCTAGGGAAAGCATCCCCCTGAAGCGCCACGCCTGAAACTTCCCGGAAAGCCTCGCGATACTCACTTGTTTCCGTAGGGCACCGTGACCCCGGCCACGGGGCCCGTGTCGCAGCCCAGGAAAAGGAAGGAGACGTAGCAAGCCGTGGACACCAGGTTCACCAGCATGGCCATCCGGATGGCGCCCAGCGCAGAGAGGCTGAGCTTCTTCACCAGGAGGCCTCCCAGGAAGATGCCGAGGCATGCGCAGGGGATCGCCGTCATGCCTGCAGACGTGGCAGAGGGGCGGGGGAGTCAGACGAGGACCGGAGGGAGAGCGCTGGGTTCAAGCCCTGTTTGGCTGCTGGCTCTCAAATGGAGAGCATGATTAAAGAAGAGGCATGCAGCCCTTTATTGATTCGTAACTTTTCTAGACCATCCATTACCGAAGTCTTGGGATGGTTTAGTAATACAAAAAATAAAACACAGCATCCTAAAATTCAACTAACACTAAAACCCCAATTGAAACAGCCAGGTCTTAAAACACTGGGAAAGTAAAAAGGTTTTGGGGTCTGAACACACAAAAGTGGAGTTGGTCTTGCAAGGACCTTTAGATAACATCACCGCCAAGTAGCAAACCAAAAGCCTAAGTCCACGAATCAAAGGGAACAGGGTTGAAAACCTTCCATCGTGCATTCAAATCACCGAATGCCTTCTGGGGCAAGAAAGTTTTCACAACCGACTCAATGCTGCCCATTCCTTCTGGGAAGATGCCATCACTGGGGTGCCAGGCTCCCCTCCTGCCCCTTTCGTTCATAGGGAAGTCTCTGAAGTTGTTCTTTGCCTACAGGGAGGGCCGCACAGAAGCAAACACTCGCACCAGTGTGCCAGCCCAAAGCTGTTTAGGGCTTTATGCGTGAGCAGCAGCACCTTGAATCGGGCCTGGAAACGGGTCTCGTGAGATCTAGAGAATGCGCACTGGGAAGCCCTCCGCCCCTGGCATTACGCAGGAGCGCTGGCTCCAGGCTTTGGCAGTGCAGCCCTCAATCAGCTCCTCCCTCCGAAAGTGCCACTCCCATCAGCTGCCCTTCCTCTTCCTCCTCTTCCTCATCACGGCAACTGCTTGCTTGCTTGCTGGCAGGTGGTGAGCCTGTGAGTTTGCAGGCAGTGGCACTCCGGGGCCTCTCCTCTGGGGGCCCCTGCTGGGACACGGACTCATTGCAGGGGCCCGTGGCGCCCCTTTTCGGCACCCATCCCCACTATGGCTACTTACCCAGCAGCTGGTTAGCAGATGACGTGGTGAGATTGAACTGCTGCTCCAGGTACTTGCCGAGGAAGGCGGCAAAGCCAGCCACCACGGCGATCTCCATGCAAGCCGCCAGGACGATGCACGTGAACACCGGGTTGGACAGCAGGTGCTTGGTGACCGTGGGGATCACTGGGGGGAGGAGAAGAGAGAAGGGAGGTCAGCACGGCGTTCCGTTGGAGCCTCCCTAGCACCCGAGACATTCTGCTGGCTACCCGGCAGCCCAGCTGGGGCACCTGCCACCTGTGTGGTGGGACCCCATGGCTGTTGCTTCCCGGGGGAAGAGCTGCTCCCGCCGGCCACTGAAGTGACCCATGCCCATTTCCTGACAGGCCAGTGGCTCCCACGTGGCCCTCTGACAACACCTCCAAGTTAGCAGCACATTTCCGGACAGGGGGCTTCTGGCCGAGCGTGAGGAGAAACACCCCAGTGGGGCTGGAGGCTTGACGGTGGAACAAAGAGCCTGCAGGGACCGGCTCTCCATTGCCAAGGCACTTAAGTGGTGCTTTCTCCCAGCTGTGGGGACCTTCTCCGTCACAGGGGGCTGGCTTGGAGGACCCCCGGGCCCCGTCCCTGGCTCTGTGCAGTTGCTCTGGCTCTGGCTGGTGATGCTGGAGTCTGGGCTGCATGAGAATGTGATTCTGCAATCGAAGGGGAACATCTGGGCTGCATCCGCTGATGAACTGAATCCTGGGAGTCCAACAGCCTCTACAGTGCCATGGAGAATTGACCAAATTCTTTGAAATCCAACCTTTTGCATGACTTGGGCATGTGAACACGCCTTTCCAGCTCAGACTCACAACCTGTTGCCTCCACTAGCACACCCCGCCACTTCTTGCACCAGGCAGCATTCCACCCACATGTGTGCATGTGCACACATGCGTGGGATTCCCGTGTTCATTGCCAAGATCTCCTCAAAGCCTGGCCTTTAGCCACAGAGCTTCCGCGAGAGGCTCTCTTTGTTTCTGAGACGGGAAAGTGAGAGCAGAGAGAAAGAGCGAGGGAGATTGCTTTACAAAGTGACTCTTAAGTTAATGAATCAGACAGAGCATTTTCTACTTCAGTGAGCATTTTAATTATTCTGGAGATAACGCAGCTTGAGTGAGATGGAATGCTAATGCGAGCAAGAAGAACCTCACTTCGCCTTAATACCTGGCGACTAACTCCTCCGTGAATTAAATGTGAAAATCGTTACTTTTGAAAATGATCTCTCTAGCCAACACAGGACTTGTTCCCCTTTCAAATACCCCAGGCCTTGCTTCCCACTCTGCTTTGTGCTTCAGAGACCTGAAGAGCTCCTGGATAACGCGGCTGGGGCGAGAAACAGGAGCGGGCAAACGCCGTCCACATCCTGCTGTGAGGCAGGTGTGTTTATATTCTCTCTTCCCGACATGCTGGTCCAGGATGCACAGCAGCGATGTGCCGTGTGTCCAGATGTTGCCTGGCTGTCCAGATGTTCCTGGATGGATTGACCCGGCCAGGAAAGCCAATGCTGAGGGTTGCTGGGAATTGCAATCCTGCAACACCTACAGGGTCACATGTCCCCACACCAGATAGATAGGGCATATATTTTAATGTGGCCCAAAAAGGCATGTATTTGGTCTGCAAACTGCAGGTGGGAGTGATACGGCCTGGTAAGCTATGACAAGGGAGTGGGGGGCTTGGCTCCTCCAGCTCTAGCCAGCCAATGGGAAGGAGTGGGGGGCACACAGAGCAACGCTGGGATAGGAGATATTGCCTCTCCTGTCGTCGCAATAAGCTCGACATCAAGGAAATGCCAGTTCCCCGTGTGCCTTTGTTGATCAAAGGCATCCTTTCCTCACTGCAGACATAAAACGCATCTGTTCATCCCGGCAGAGAAACCTCCCCGGAGAGAGACAGCCCGTCGCTGCCCGGTGGGACAGCTGTGCCCTCGGGTGAGGCAGGGAAGCCCCATTTTGGCTCAACCCGCACAACACGAGGTCCTTCACGAGCAGCCAGCTGCAGTGCGTTGCTGGGCCATTCAAGGCCACATCATGCTACAGAGCAGAGTTTGCTCGCACACCACAAGCCACCCTGGCAGGCCATGGCTTCCTTGGGCACTGGTCAACCCATGACGGGTTGCCGTGCGATGGAAGCCAGTGGGGCCATTCCTCCAGGGGCTACGGGGTCCCCTTGGCAGTCTCGCCATGTTGCTGCCTGGGAGCGTCTTGCCGCGGTCGGGCCCGGAGCTCATCTGGTCTAACAGCCAGCTGCACACGGGATCCCACCAACCAGACATGGGTGCAATGGTGCCCCTCTGCCCATGTGCCCCGGCAACGGGCATACTGCCTCTGAAGCTCATTGTCTTGCATTCTGGGCCTAAGAGTAGCTAGCCACAGCTGCAGTTCTCCCACACTCCGAGCCCCGGGAAGGAAGCTCCCTATGGAAAACATGGCAATGACGACACCGGGAAAGAGAGGGAAGCTGGGGGCAGGGGGTGTGGGAGCGACCTAGCCTGCTCCTGGGCCCGGTGATGGATCTAACCAGCCATTAACCTGCCAGCCTTCAAGCACGCCCCCTGGGGTGTGGGGAAGTGGGTCACCTCTCAGCTGCTGGAAGCAGGAGGTGGAATCTTCCACTCCTGTGGGGTGGTGCGGGAGGACTCCATTGCTTGGCTTCGGCCGCTCATAGTCCCCCTCGGGCAGCATGGCTTGCTCAGCCTCTGTCATCTGCTCTGGCTGGCGCGTCAGGGACTGCGGGAATCCAAACATCGGGAGAGACGAGAAGAAAAGTAAGGCACCACAGAGCAAGAAGCCCGCCCACCATGCGCCAATCCACCTGGGGTCATCGGGGGTGATGTCCAGCTTGCCTGCAAGGGACAAAAAAGACAGGCTGATTATTAAGGAAGGTGGAGTGCAAGGAAGCAACCTGGCCTGAGTCACAGAACTTCCACCCTTAAGAGCAGGGATGGAGGAGAAAATAATTTCAGTGTATTTTTGATCTTACTCCATCGGAAGCTTGCCTACACTTGCACAAAGCACAGTGGGAAAATGTACAACCCAAATGTCAGCCAGCGAGCTGAGAACACCAGAAGAAGACATCAGAACCTGGGGGAGAAACTGCAGTTCAGCATGGCCTTCCCCCACTTGGTGCTCTCTAAATGTTTTCAGCAGCAATTCCTATCAGCCCCAGCAAGCAGGGCCAATGGTCAGGAATGCCAGGAGCTGCTGGGAAAAGCTATTTTGGCATTTCAATAATGATTCTGAACACTGAAGGACTTCTTTAATATCATTATTGGTCTTCACAACAAGGACTGTCTGCTTGTATATTAGCTAGTTGTGCCCTGCTGTACATGGTTTGGTGGAACCAGAGAATTCCCAGTGAGCAAAGGACCATGTACACTGATGCTCTTGTATGCATCAACCAGCCAATTCACATTTTTAAAATAGCAACTGATTGCCTTAAAAAGACTGGAGGGTGAAAAGAAGCCCTGTTTGGACCTCTTACAAACTTTGTAACTGAACCAAGGCAAGGCAATAGCAGACAAAAAGCACCCTCATTTGGAAGCCCCCTAATAAGGGCCCACATTGAATGCTCTGCTAGTGATGCAGAGTAGGTCTTGTCTTACCTACTGATTCTGCTTTTATAGACCACCCAACAGCCAAAGATCTCTGGGCAGTTCCCAACCATTCAAAACCACAAAAGACAGCATAAAACAGCAGTTAGGAATACAGTACAGTAGAATAGAGTTCAAATACAATACAGGATTTAAAACAGACTGAAATTAAAATTCCTGGAACATTTACTGGAAAGAATACAATGTGAGTGCCAGGAGAGCTTCCCTAGGAAGTCATTGCATTGCCAGGGGCCACAGCAGAAAAGACCCTGTTCTTCATAGCCACTCCCTTCTGATTCCAGCACAGGGGTTCCCACAGAAGGGCCACGGAGAATGATCTGAGAGTCCAGGCAGGTATCACTGGGACTGGGCACTGCTTTCAGTGTAAATGTGCACAGACTGGACTGGAACCATGCCAACGTAGAAGGAATTTAAGGATGTGAGAAAGCAAGCTCCAAGGCTGAGCTCCTCATGAGCTCAGCCCTCCCCTTCCTGACCACAGGCTCCAAAACACCAGACAGTCTCTTTGCAATGCAAATCTTTATTGGCATTTCGCGCAACAAGGCAAAGTAACTCTAAACCCTCCAGTGAGCTGGAAGATTAGCCTCTGCTTGGCTCATGTTAGAAAGGTCAGACCCAAAGTAGGGATTTCTTCCTGAAATCCTACCCTTTCAAGAGCTCTGTGGACTGCACTTTCAGGGTGGTTCTGGGTGTGAAGGGCCAGCCAGAGAGACTTCTTCTACTGCCACATCCTGGGGCCAGGGACCCAGCAAGGCAACAGCTGCCCCTCCTCTCCTTTGTCAACCCCTCCCATCCCTTCCAAAGCATTCCCGCACTCCGGCCTGCCTGGGAATGTGTTCAAAGGACTCTGACTCCCCAGCTTCTCAGAACTCAGGTCATCAAGATCTTCGTCTCCAGAAGGATTCTGATGCCCACCAAGAGGGAGGTCGGATTCACTCACTGCATGTGACCCTAGCAAGATGGGCCCATGTGTTACCAGCATCTCCAACAGAGCTGGAAATCTCCCCAGAGGGCCAGGAGGCCAATGCAGACCAGCTTTCCCCAATCAAGTGCTCTCTAGAAGTGTTGGACTACAACTCCCATTGCCCCAGCCAGACCAGGCTGCCTATAGTCACTGGGGTGATGATGCAGAAGGAGGGAGACACTCCATTTGGAAAGTCCCAAGGCCAACTGCTGAAAGCATCTCCAGCTGGGGCTTGGAAAGACCCCTTTCTGAAGCTTGCAGGCCCCAGCCAGCCAAGGACCACCAGACCAGGCTCGATGGACCAATGAAGGGCCTAACTCACCAGAGGGCCCTTCCGAAAGCCAGCACCTGGGAGCAGTCAGAGCTCAGTTTCTCAGCTAAAGCGTGGTCTTGGGAGTCCTTCAAAGGCGTTCAAAGGTCCTTGGATGGCAACAGTGCTCCATAGACAGCCAGACTGTGGAGGTCCAGGACAGGTTTCCACAGATCCAAGGCTCTTTGGAGGAATGCTCAGGGTCACCCTCTGCGTGGCCCCCAAAGCCAGGAGGACCCCACCCATTTTTCAGTGCTCACCCACTGGGGGGCCACTGCTCCCTGGCCTCCAAGATCATTGGTTTTCCAGTTCCCAGCATGGAAAAAGAAGCAGCAGCGCTGGTGGTGAGGCTTAGGGGGTGGGAATGGCGTTTACCTCCCCCTTCCCCAGCAACCCCTAGACTTAAGGGGATGGAGGGAAGATGTGGGGGGTGGAAGGGTGTGTGAGAGCAGCCCACCCCCCTCAGCTGACCCCAGAAGGTCAACAATGTTGTATACCTTGGTCCATGGGGACTGGATGGCGTTAAAAGCACAGGTGGCGCACAAACTCTAAATTTTGCAAGGAAGGACAAAAGTGTGAGGAATGCCACTGAGAGGAAATCATTGTTTTATGGTCCCCCTGCTGGCCAAAGGAATCAGCAGCAGCAAGCCAGAAAAGTCCGCCTTCCGAAATCACAACCCTGCATGCTTGCTCCAGAATGGGAGGTGAAGCAACACAGCTTGTTGGACAAACTCCTGTTAAGAGGAATGAATGCAAGTTCCTCATCTCATAGAAACATAGAAAAATAGAATCAGAGCGAGTCAGACGGGGTCTCCCGGGCCATCTAGTCTGACCTCTGGCACCAGCCGGCTCCGCTCACGACATGCCCACCAGGTGCATGTCCAGCCTATCCTTGAACACCCACACCGATGGGGCCTCAACGACCTCTGCTGACCTTTCCTTCGAACTTTGGTGCCAAGACACTTGCGCTGGAGGACTTTGGGGCTTTGAAGAGTTAAGGAACCAGAGGGTGAAAAAGCCAGTAAGACTGCTAGTATTTTCAGGTCTTTTCAAGTCTGATCCACCCATGTCCCATGTTCCACATGCTCCTTGGCAGGAGATGCCTGCTCTGTCTGGCCAAGGAGTAGCAGCTCCTCCAGGGATTGAGGAAATGGGAACCTTTCCCAGCCCTGTCAGGGGCTGCTGCAGACTGAACCTGGAGCCTTTTGTAGGCATGGAACTACAAGCTGTTGCAGCCCAGTCGCGCCCCATCCTGTCCTCCTTCCAAGCAGATCAAGACAGGAGGCGTTCCCCTACACTTTTATTTTGTTTCAGTGATACAAAGGGAATATTGCAGAGGATCTATAAGTCAGAAGCCAGCTCACTGGGAAATCGCTGCTCATACCAGGAAGCCAGTTCCAGCCTGAATCCTGCTCCTCCCATCCCAACCAAACAGAGTTAGCTCTACCCTCAGGAAGGTTCCTGCTGCTTGCAGGACACAAGGGCAGGAATGCCAGATGCTACTCAGCTGGCCTGCCCTTTGACCTTAAACCTGGCAGCAGGGCCAATCCTGCAATATCTGCCCTCGTCTAGTTCTGCTTGGGCAGCACTGCCTTGCCCGGGACCAGTGGTGGTCCTCTCCAACCCCGGCTTATCTCCAGGCTGAGAATTCCACCCTGAGCTCTTCTTCCAATTTGGATTCAGACTCAGTAGTAGCCACCCTACAATGCTGTCTTTTGGGAGAGGTGGGCCCATTTGCTACAAAACCTTCCTTTAAAAATAAATTCCAGTCCTCATGATTCTAAATGAAGATTTAAAGCAGAATTCAAGAAGGTGCTGTGGCTCCATCAATCCCTGGTTGCAGTTCTTCAGGCATTCCAGTGGGGGGGATCTTTCCACCCTCCCTAGACATGCCAGGGATCAAACCAAGGACCGTCTCCATGTAAAATGTGTGTTCTCTGCTGAGCAACAGTCCTTGACCCACAAGCATGAAAAAGTCTAGAGTTCTTTCAGCAATTAAGGGTGCGATTCTACTGCAAAGATCAGAAGCTCCTAGGTGGGAGGAGCAGCGGAGGCAATTTTCACCTCCCTGTCCTTTTGCCCATCTGGCAACAAAAGAGGGGGAATGAAGGAGGCTGAGAAGGCCTCCGGAGAGCTCACACCCTGGCACCTGGAGCATCTTCCCCTGCCAGCCCTCCAGAACACCCCTTCCCCCGCTCTCCAAAGTTGCTTTTCTGTCCTCAGAGAGCAACAGGTGTGCTTTCTGAAAGCGCCAGGTGCAATGGAAGGGGGTGGCGCTGCAGCTCCAGTTCCCAGCTCCCCAGTGCCGCCTCCAGCTGGGAGTAGTTCTGGGAATCCGAAATACTCTGTGACCCATGGGATTGCTCCCTCTGTAGCCCATGGAAAAAACCACAGTATCTTCCCATGCCAGGTTTTTCCCAATGAAGCGGTTTGCCTCCTGCGCACTGCATCTCACATGATGGGAAGAACAATCACTTCTCTTTCAGACCAAGGAAAAGAAAAGCACCCTTACTTGTGTCGATGAAGACTGCATCCACATAGATTTTGGTACAGAAAGAGCCCAGAATAAATCCACAGGCAGGTCCAAATACCAACATTGTAAACAAGATCCCTGTAAAGAAACACACAACAACACAGCAGCAGTTAGTGCAAAGTATGCAGCCAAGTTGTACCACTTTGTCAGGGCTGTGCCACTTTGGGCAGGCACTTTGAGGAGATGGGTAGGGAGAATGTGCTTAAGCGTCAGCCCAGACCAAACTGTTCCCTTCACATTCAAGATTATCGGTGAGAAGGCTCCCAGACTGGCTTCCTGTGGATGTGTTCAGCTTTTTGTGGGGACTGCTGCAAACCTGTCAGGCTTGGAAACACCACGCAATTCTGGCAGTGTTAAGGCACACAATAAAATGAAATTTCGGTCTGCCTTGCTCTAAACCAGGGGTCCTCAAACTACGGCCCGCCATGCCCATTCATTCAGCCCGCCTCAGAGGTCTTGGACTCACTGTGCCCACCCCTGCGCCCACCGGCACCACCTTTCTGGCCCGCGCCCAGCACCGGCACCTTTCATTTGGCCCCCTGTTGAAAAAGTTGGAGGACCCCTGCTCGAAAAGAAGGGCTAGTTTCAGTAGGGACACGGAACCCTTGCAGGAGAATGTCCCCCTTCTGACAAAACTGCAAACAGAAGGGTAAAAATTGCCCTCCAAGAAATGGCACCAAAGCAAATTTGGAGCATGAACAGAGAAAATATTTGAGGAAATATGAATGAATTACTGGAGAATTTTTCTTCTTGGTCTTTTTCCAGATTCCACCACTAGAGAGTGCTGTGAGCTAAAATATTCACCCTAAGAGGGAAAAAAGCACCCATAAAAGCCTATGGATTTCTCAGCCCTCAACACATATAACGTTTATTACATGTTCAAAAGGGTCAGTAAGCATCTTTTGATACTTTAATGGTATGCCATACTTTAAAGACAGAAGGTACCATTCTTGCATTGCAATATAGCAAAACCGCGCTGGAGTCTGACTCTCCATTATATCGATATTGCAATGGATTATACAATCCCAGTGGATTGGTCAAAGCGGTTTCTGAGTTATTTGAAGCATGCATGGAAATCTCTGGCTGAAGAGCCAGTTACAGGCCTGTTGACAAAAGGCAAATTTCATCATGACACATTGGAAAAAGGAATGTTGCCCCTCCATTGCCTGCTCGGTTTTTCAGGGCCTGGGACTCTGCTGTTACAGCAACAGCAGCTTATGCTATGCAAGCAACATCCTAGTTTAGGTTGCCTCTCCAAGGAAGAGGTTTTGCAGATTTGCAAACTATGCACCAGACTGACTGACCTGTTCACTAGAATCAAAACTGGGAGAAGAGAGCATGAGTTGGTGTCCCAGAACAGGACTTGATCACTTTATGCTCCCTGCCTTTTCAGATGGCCATAGATATTATTACTGCTTTGAAGCAAACACGTTATTTTCATTTATTAGTTTTCTCTATCTTCCCAAAGCCACAACTGGGCAGTTTTCAAAGAGGAAAACCTTAACGATTCCATGATACCAAGTATAATCGTACAAACACAAAAACAGACAATGCACGCAGAGGAAGAGAGAGATTTCTAAAGTCCATGTATACAATCAACAAGAACAATCAGTCAACAAGAACAAAATCAATTTGTGATTAAAAACCACACTATATGTTGCCAAATGCCTGAGAAGAGAAGGTCTTAACCTGAGGCCAAGAAGATAAACATGTGGCTTTGGCTACTAACATTTCTTCTCCCGCTTCCAACTGCAGTTCCTTTGAAATGACATCTACATTCCTAATATGTCAGAACAACAACAGTTGCCACCCCAATTTAAACCGAAACCACTTTGAGTGTGTGCAATGTTGCATTTAGACTCCTTAAATAATCACTGAGAAGGCATGACTTGCTGGGGAAGACCAGGATGCCAAAGGTAGCAGGGAAAAGACCAAACAGCAGATCGATCATAGAGGCATAGAACAGTAGAGCTGGAAGGGGCCATGAAGGCCATCAGGTCCACCCCCTGCTGGTGCAGGACTCCAAGTCACACCACCCCACTCAGGTGGCTGCCCAGTTTCACCTTGAACGTCTCCAGGGTGGGAGAGCCCCCCACCTCTCCAGGCAGCGTGTCCCACTGTTGCATTGCTCTGATCATGAAGAAGCTTTTCCTGGTGTCCAGCCTGAATCTGGGTTGTCACAACTTGAACTGATCTCACCCTCAACAGAAAGAGATCTCACCCTTCCTCTCTGATGGATCAATTCCATCGAAGAAGTTCACCATGGTTTTTTATCTACTTATTTAAAGCTTTTATATACTGTTCCATAGTAAACACTCTCCGAACGGTGTTGACAAGATCCAAGCAGGGCTGCTCTGGGCAAGATATCTTGGAGGGCTTTCATTCACAGGGACACCAAAAGTTGGTGACGACTTGATGGCACATCACAAAAATAACCATCTGGTAATGACAACAGGAATAGAACACAGTCTGCTTCTGTGGCTCCAATGAGCTCAGCACCACCCACTCCCAGGCGGGTTGGTTTGGGGGCCTCTACGATGCCCGGACTCAGGACTTTGGGCCCAAGGCCCCTCCTGAGCTACTTTCCAGCCCTCTGAAACTGCTTCGGTGGCCGAAGGGAAGCGCTTGCCCCTTTAAAGCCCTGGTTAATCTCAAAACCCTGCTTGCCCCACATTTTCCTGCTGCTGGGTGGATATTAAAAGGGTCCGTCTCCCCTACAGGAGAGATTACTGGGATATATTTAACTGTGCTGGCTGCGTGTGCAGAGGCGCTGCCGGGATGGAGATGGCCGCCGGCTGCCGGCTGCCTCTGACACAGATTCTTGGTGCCTGGAAATGAAGCCTGCGGGGGGCTCAGGAGGAACAGATACCCAGGCACACACTGGGGCACAGGCCCTGTCGCCACTGCCCCGTTGCTGGGCTGTGGGGGGACCCCCCATAAGAGCTTCCCCTCACCGCCGAGGAGCATCCGAATTCAATTTCTGAAAAAAGCCGAGAGTATGGAGATGGGCATGGCTGGCTGACGTGCTGAAGAGAAGCCCTCTGCGCTGCAGCATTTCATCTCCGTACTCCAGTCCATTCCCTTTCCCACCTGATTCCCTCCCGCTCACCTGGTTAGTCAGCAGGCTCAGTCTGCATAGGGGTGGTCTCAGGCGTTAGCTGTTACGGCCACCGAGCGGTCTCCTCCAAAAGGTCCTGTCCATGACAGCCCTGCTCACCTCTTCCAAATTCCAGGCTGTGGCCTCCTTCATGGAGTCCATCCGTCTCTTACTTGGCCTTCCCTCTCGTCGTCTGCCTTCCACTTCCCCCAGCAGGATGGCCTGCTCATGATGTAGCCAAAGTATGGCAGCCCCTGCTTTGTCATCTTGGCTTCTGGGGAAAGCCCTGGCATGATTTGATCTAGGACCCCCTGTCCATCTTTCTGTTGGTCCAGTTTGTTCACAAAGCTCTCCTCCAGCACCAGGTTTCAAGCACATCGATTTTTCCCCTGCCAGCTTTCTTCCCTGTCCAACTTTCACAGCCATACATGACGATCAAGACTACAACAGAGTGCATTATCTTGGCCTTGGTCGCCAGTGACACATCCCTCCATCTGATGATCTTTTCTATTGTCTTCATCGCTGCTCTTCCCAGCCTCAGGCTTCTTCCAATATCTTGGCTGCAACCTCATTTGAATTGATGAGTGAACCAAGGTATACAAAATCTTTCTTCTGATGTCTCCATTACTGACCACAAAGTTCTGTAGCAATTCTGTAGTCATGAGTTTTGTTTTTTTTAAACTCAGCTGCAGTCCTGCTTTTGCACTCTGAGATCTATCCTCTCTCCCACCCAATTTTATGCTTTAAAAAAATCCCTAAAGATGTTTTGTTTTGCAAAGCTTGGGGTTCTCTCAAGTCTGCTGGTAGCTACACAAGCAATGATACTTGCAACCTGTACATCAGACATGCAGGAATGATGTACTGTGTGGAAGAAAACTAGCGGATGCTGATACTATTGAAATTGAATGGTACTCCCAATTTCTCTGTGTTTCACAATCATGATGGCTGCTTGTTCCACACTGACCTTTTCACATCTTTCTTCCCAGTTCTGCATCGCCTCTTGCACATTGTTTCTGTTTCTGCCTCCCCCGAAAGAAATCCAGAGCACGCTCACCTCACAACCACCACCCTTCCAGTTTTTAATCCCCAACTGCTGAAGTCCTGCTGGGACAAGATTGTTTTAAAAAGCACCATTGGTTTTCCAGCCTCGCTAACACCCAGTTAGCTGGTCACGGCCATCCTGCAATACGCTCAGCTTGCACGAGAGAATTAAAATTTCACCACGTAGCAAATTCGGGGGTTAATAAGGACTGCGGGTCCTTTAATGACAGACTTATTTATTCTGCCTCATGCCAGTGGTCCTGGTGCAGTGGGAGGCCAGAGCAGAGCACACAGCAGTCCCCAGGTCTAACTCCCAGCATTATTTTCCAGGCTTTGCTTTTTAAATGCTCCCTTGGTAGCAGATTTGGAAAAAGCTCTGGCGGAAATCTTGGAAAGTCACGGCCCATCATCACACGTATAATAAACAGATTGGCAAGTTCATCTTGCCTGAAGGTGCCCATTGAGTTTATGCACACTCTGTGGGTGTGTGTACAAGGGCAGAGTTCAGTGCCGGCAATCTGCTGCTCCAAAGTATGCCACACTCGCGGAATAACACCAAAGCAGGACTTGCTAGCCCGAGCCAGGAAACTACCCCAGTCAGCTGCTTCCAGGACGGAAAAGTCAGAAGAATTCTGTCTACAACCACTGACTTCGCCATTCAGGGATGTGGGTTCCTCTCCACTTGCACTGCTGTTCTGTTGCACTGGCAATTGTTCCCAGCAGTGCAAGAGAAGGTGGCAATTATGTCAGAATTACCGCACAGCCCTCACTTTTTCCTTCACACAAAACACGACCTGCTACGAGTAAATGTCAACCCAGCAGGGCTGGAAACAAAAATAATAGGACAGATCAATTTTATGACAACCGTAGCTCAGCACACAGCAGATGCAACAGCTACAGATGACATTCTTATGCATTCCAATACTTTGAAAAGGTTAAT